ACTGCTGAGGGGAGCAGCGGGCGGGTCAGGAGAGGTCTGCCACGCTATGTGGTCACCTCCGGGGCAGGCGGGGATCGAACTCATGCGGAAGTGGCCCCAGTTTCTCAGTGCAGTGCTTTAACCCGCTGCGCCACCAGGGAGGGCCAGTATTTTTATTTTTTAAATAAAAAAAAATAATAAGAGTACTTGCACTAATTTTAAAACATTTGCAAACTACGAAAAGTAGAAAAGATTTTTAAAAATCACCTGCAATCTCTTTACAAGTTTGATGTGTTTTAAGGTTACCTCTCTGCACATCATACACTAAAATAAATTGCAGAGGGATTAAAAGGCTTTGTTTTTAGAATATGAGGTAGATATTTCTACAACTTAGGAATGGGAGAGGAATCAATGCTCACTGAAGTGATGAGACATTCCATTCATTAAACAGATAATTCCCTTAACACTTTTTAATGGCCTGTCAAATAATTAACACATGTTAAAATAAATGACAAATGGGAAAATACAAACAGATTACTATCCTAAATATATAAAGAGCTCTTAGGGCCCTCCCTGGTGGCTCAGCGGGTTAAAGCACAGCACTGAGACGCTAAAGCCACTTCCGCATGAGTTCGATCCCCGCCTGCCCCGGAGGTGACCACATGGCGTGGCAGACCTCTCCTGACCCGCCCGCTGCTCCCCTTAGTAGTGTACTTCGTCGATCTGCCTGTTCTGCTCCCCCCTCTGTCCCTGGTGAATCCTCTCACCCTCCGCATCTCTGGTCTGTACCCCAGTTCTGTATGAATAAATAAATCTTAAAAAAAAAAAAAAAAGAGCTCTTAAAACTCAATACTAAAAACGTAGAAACACAAATATAAAAACAAGCAAACATCATGAATAGGCAGTTTATGGAAGAAATATGATTATTTAATAAACAAAATCCTTCAACCTCACTCATAAAAAATGCTGTGATAAAAAGAACATTTTTTTAACCTATAAAATATGCAAGATTTAAAAATAATTCTAAGTATTGGCAAAAGTGAGGGGAAAAAGATACCCTCATACCTACAGGTACAATGTAAATCAATACTTTTTTCCTGAGGAGATATTTGATAATATGTATCAGGAACCTTAACATATTAATAATGTTTGTTCTTATGACAAGGAATTTACCTTAAGGGAAAAAAAAATCACATGTGCACATAAAAATTTTTCTAAGGATTTTCACTACAATATTAATTTCTAAAAACAGAAAATACTCAAATGTTCAAAAACAGAGAAACATTTAAACAATTTATGATATAGTACAAGAGAACCCCATGCAGTATTAGTGATCACACAATGAGTATTATTGATTTGTACTGCAAAGGCTTATAATATATTATAAATGTGAAAAAAGTGCAGGGAGAAACCAATTTTAAAAATAGGCACAGGTGACTGAAAGCAGGAGTATGAGTATGTATATGCAGGAAAGAAAAAGAGAAGGCAACTAACTCAAAATAATGGGGGTTATATTCTGGTACTAAGAATATGCGTGATCTAAAATTTCTTCTTTGCATACTCCAAATGTTTCAAACTTATGCCCGGTAAGTATGTATTACTTGTATAAGAAAATTTCACTAAGATTAGAGAGAGAGGTATAAATGATTAACTTACTTTGATGGCAATGTTAATAGAAACTTCCTGAATATCAGCAAGTGGTGGGTAAAGTCTTCCTTGAGCTAGCTCTTTATCTGTCAACTGATTTGTGAGTGCCTGAAGAGAAAAACAGCTTTTTACACTTTTGCTTAAATAACACACTACAATAAAGAGCTAGTAAAACAGAAAAAGGTGTAGGAGAGCAGAGAATAGTATAGGTAACTTAAGTCTTATTTCTAGCAGGAACATACTTAAGCCACAGCAGAAACTACAATTGTTCACCATCAAACAAAGAAATAATCAGATATAAAGATTTATTGACATATTTTCTTCGGTAAAATACAACAGCTCCTATGAAAAGTAGACATGTAAGTGTGTATTAATAAGATTTATTTATTTATGCATGTAAGAACTGAATTTATGCAGGTCAGAGGCATGGGGGTTACAGAATTCATCAGAGACAGAGTGAGGAGCAGAAGAGGTGGATACATTGAAATACACTGCTGAGGGGAGCAGCGGGTGAAATAGGAGAGGTCTGCTGCGCCATGTGAAGTCTATTAATGTGATTTTTTGACAACTCATATTGCAAAGTCTGAAGCTTCAATAGGCCAGAATAAAAACAAAACGAAACAGTATCAGTCCATTAAAAAATGTAAGGAGTTATAATTTTATCTATGTTGTCCCAATATCACCCTTCAGAAATATATACTACAGGTACAGTATATGTGCTTCAAATATGAAAGTACTCTGGGCCTCCAGAATACTTAAGAAGTTAAGGCTTAGTTCTACCATCGAGAAGGCCCACTGTCACGGCCTGAGTTCCATCCCAGGCAGGGAGCTGACCCACATGGCACAGCAGACCTCTCCTATTCTGCCTGCTGCTCCCCTCAACAGCGCATTTCAGTGAATCTGCCTGTTCTGCTCCCCACTCTGTCTCTGGTGAATCATCTCACCACCATCCCCTCCACACCTCTGACCTACACCTCAATTCTTCTTTGCTTAAATAAAGACAAAAATCTTAAAAAAACAAAAAAATACAACAACAACAAAACAACAAATATGAAAGGACTCATATCAGACAATCAACATCTGAAAACTCAGGAAAAAAATTTATTTTTATACAGAAATATATGGGCAAATAAAAAATAAAACAATTTTCCCATTCTCTTCTCTATTCTCTATGTCTGCTTTGTAATTAAGATCCACTCATCTTTATAATCATCCTCTAAAGAAATAACTAAATATTTAAAACATTTACCTTTGCAGCTTCTAGGAAAACATGGTCACTAATATGCCGGGTATTACAAAGAATAACAGCTAGAGCCACGCCTAGAAAACATTTTAAATAGTTGCATTTAGTAATGCTACTTTTCAAATTATTGGCCAAATAATTCCCAGATTTTAAGCAAATTAATGGTAACCCCACCACAACCTAAAAGAACCCTTCCCTCCAAAACCCCAACACAATCAAGATAAAAGAATTCTTAAAATCAAATGACTTGTCAACTATTATAACACTTATTCAGTAGAAGACATAATTTTGAATTATGAAATATTTCAAATAATTTTGAAATTATGTCTGCCACTAAACATTATAATAGTTAACAAGTCATTTGATTTTAAGAATTCTTTTGTCTCGATTTAGTTTTTACATTTAAAAAAGTTACAATGCATATAATTTATCCACATTATTTATTTTAAAAAAATCAGCTTTAGCCTTCCTCTAACCTATTTCCTGCTCTACAGAGGTAACAACTTTTAATTCTTTTAGCTGATTATCATATTAATTTCTCTCATTCTTAAAACAACTTGGTCTTATTTCCTTTGGCGGGCTTTTAGGCTTTACAGATTGTTGACATTTTTGTGGGAAATATATACATATTTAGATTTGTTTTATATTTCCAGCCTTTTCCCTTCTTTCCACTTTAGAGCATTAATTTTGGATGAGTCAATATTCACAGTTTATGATATCACTATAATTTCATGGGGACTCCCTTTGCTTCTTTTTAAACTGAATCCATTTCTTAAATTCTATTTCTTTCTGGTTTTGTTAATCCCTTCTTTTTGGTGGGATATATCTTCCTGCAGTTTTCTGGGGGGAAAAAAACACTGAAATCTTTCATTTCTGAAGATGACTAGCCCCCCCCCTTTTTTTTTGTTGCTACTTTCCACTTATTTGATAGTTTGTCTGGGTTTAAAACTCAACTTTTTTTCAGAGATGTGAGGCACTGTTCTAACACCTTTCTAGCTTTCAAGGTTGCTGGTGAAAAGTATAACACCAATCTGATTTCAGATTCTGTTTTCTAGTGATTATCTTTTTGTTTCACCTCTGGAAGTATACAGGAACTTTCCCTTGTGTGTTTTATGTTCTGCAATTTCACAGTGGTGTACCTTTCGGTATGTTATTTTCACATACCATGCTTGACACTCAGTGGGTAGATCCTTCCATCAGGAAATACTGAGTTTTTCAGTTTGGGGAAACAATGTCTAAGAAACAATGTCTAAGTCTTTAATAGTTCCATTTTTTTCTGTTCTTTTTTCCCAAAATCTAATTTCTGATCTTGTAATTTTATACACACACAATTGGGGTACTGGCCAGAGGTGCAGGGGTGGTGAGGGGATTCACCAGAGACAGAGTGGGGAGCAGAACAGGCCGACTGAGGAAGTACACTGCTGAGGGAAGCAGTGGGTGGGTCAGGAGAGGTCTGCCATGCCATATGGGGCAGGAATTGAACTCATGCTGCAGTGGCTTTAGCTTCTTAGTGCTGTGCTTTAACTGGCTGCACCACCAGGGAGGGCCCCGCTTGCTCTATTTCTAAAGCAATTTTCTAGAGGTGACTTCCTCAACTTTTTCTTCTAATTCTTCTACCATCAAACTTTTTTTTTTCCTCAGGAGATCTTTTTTATTTTCTAATTAAAAAACTTGTCTTGTTGCAGAGATAAAATATATTCTGTCTCCATGAGGACACTGATAATTTTTATTTTCATCCTTCCTTCTACCTACATAGAGCCTGTACCTGCCTAGGCTGCCCTTTTTGTTTTGTTCTAGTTTCTTTAGTGAGATAAATATTTCATGTAAGAGACTTTCCTTAGATGACTAATATGTTGAGTGTTGCTTAGATATGAGGGTTAGGACCTAAAAAAAAAAAAGGAAACTATGAACATGATAATGGGGCTTACCCACCCTGAGTATCACTAAGAGAGTGTAAAAATTAAGAGAATTTTTAATTTTTAACAACTCTGCCCATAACTACATCTGATGTCTTTCAGTCTAGACTAGCAGAATACACTATTCAAAGAGATCCTAACAGTCTTTAGCATAAAAATAATTTTTTTCCTGGTCACTTGATTGCCTAGGGTTGGGAGAGCAGCAGATAGTTAATAATTTCCTTGTTGTAATCCAGTCTCCAGGTTTACATATAGGGCATTTAGCCTATCTATATTTACGCAGTTATTTAAAACAACTGTTTTCTTATATTTGTCTTGACGATTGGATTCTATGTACCTTTTCCCTCCTTTTCTTATCTTTTGGATTAAAAGAACATCATTTCATGTCCTCCCCTCCCTTACCATAGCTTGGAAACTTTTCTAATCTTCTACTGGTAATCCTAAACTTTAAATATGAATCCTTATCAAAATTCCATGTTAATTTTTTTTAAAATAAGATTTATTTGTGCATACAGAACTGGGGTACAGGCCAGAGGCTCAGGGGCAGCGAGAGGCTTCACCAGAGACAGAGTGGGGAGCAGAACAAGCAGATCGACGAAGTACACTGCTGAGGGGAGCAGCGGGTGGGTCAGGAGAGGTCTGCCGCGCCATGTGGTCACCTCTGGGGCAGGCGGGAATCGAACTCATGCGGAAGTGGCTTTAGCTTCTTAGTGCTTGCTTTAACCCGCTGCGCCACCAGGGAGGGCCCTCCATGTTAATTTTTAATTTACCTTCTTGTCAGAATATGTACATTCCTCCTGACAGTTTAGCTTTATTTAGGTGATAAGCTGTTGTGCATTTAAATTTTTTTCCTATTTAAATTTTTCAAATTAATTTTTATTGAGGCTTATAATACCAAATAAATTTAAGGCATACAAAATTATAATTTGACTTCTGTAAAGACTACTTTTAGTTCTACTCAGTTTCACATTATTAACCTCCTTTTACCCTTTCCCTCAATGACCCAATCTTCCTTCTCTTCTGTTAACCACCAATCTGTTCTGTGTCTCAGGTTTTCATTTGTTTAATTTTTTTTTATATTCTACATATGAGTGAAATACAGAATTTATCTTTCACTGCCTGACTTATTCTGCTTAGCATAATACCCTTAAAATATATCCATATTGTTGCAAATGGAAAGTTTTTTCTTTTTTTAAAGATTTATTTATTTATTCATATAGAACTGGGGTACAGGCCAGAGATGTGGAGGGTGAGAGGATTCACCAGAGACAGAGCGGGGAGCAAAACAGGCAGATCGACGAAGTACACTGCTGAGGGGAGCAGCGGGCGGGTAAGGAGAGGTCTGCCACGCCATGTGGCCACCTCTGGGGCAGGCGGGAATCGAACTCATGAGGAAGTGGCCTTTAGATTCTCAGTGCGGTGCTTTAACCTGCTGTGCCACCAGCAAGGGCCAGTTTTTTCTTTTTTATGGCTATTTTCTCTGTATTTTTAATCCACCTTTCCAAAACACATTCTTACTTTCTCTAAACAACATGTGTTTTGTCTAACTCATATTCATGATTTCCTTTCTTCTTCATTCCCTCCTATGTCTGAGCTTGTATTTGGGATTATTTTTCTTCTGCCTAAAGAACAGATTTTAGAATTGCTTTTCTTTTCTTATAGGTCTGCAGATCGTGAATTCTGGGGTGTTTGTTTTTCTGAAAGTTTATTCACTTTGCCTTATTCCATGGAGGATAACTGAGCTGTGTGATGAACAAGTATTCTGGCAAGTGTGCTTGGCAGTATTCTGCATGAGTGACTTAAATACATCGTCCCATACCTCCTGGTATCCTGCTGCTGTTGAATCATTTGCCAGTCTAGCAGCTTCCCCTCTGGAGGACATTTTCTTGTTTTAAACACATTCATAGACTTTGTTGTTATTTTCTGAAGCCTCTTAATGATGGTATTAGATGTGGGTTTTTCTTTTTTAAATCTTTTAAATTTGGGGGTAGAAGAACTGGGGTGTAGGCCAGAGGTCAGAGGGGGTGGGAGGTGAGGGAATTTACCAGAGACAGAGTGGGAAGCAGAACAGGTGGATCTACTGAAATACACTGCTGAGGGGAGCAGCGGGCAGGTAAGGAGAGGTCTGCTGCATCATATGAGGGTTAACTCCCTGCCAGGGAATTGAACTTAGGTGGCAGCAGTTATAATGCTAAGATTTAACTGCTAGGCCTCTAGGGAGGCCCTGAAGTTCTTTTTACTTATCCCACATTATCCCACTGAGCTCTCTGCATATCACATACTGATGCCAGAAATTCTCAGCCACAGGGACTGCAAGTACTGCCTCTGCTTTACTCTCATTTTCTTCTGACACTTCAATTAAAAGCATATCTCATCTGCTTTTCTACACTACCTTCTTTCTTTTTTTTTCTTCTGTGTTAATTTCTTCTCACTATCTTCCAGTATATTTTTCTCATTGGTCTAATTTGTGGTATGCCTCATTCACTGAGTTCTTTTAGTTTTAGAATTTAGCGGTACTTGGCTGAATTAAAAAAAAAAATTATTATTATAATAGTTTATTTTTACATCATTTTGTGTCCTTTCTCATCTCCATTGTAATCCCTGTGGACTTCCCATTACCAAATCACCCACGTGCCATCACCATAGTCCCATGTATTCCCCCCGCCATTTTTGATCCCATTCCCCACTCCACCCCTGTAAAATGTCTCTGGTATATAGTTGATCATTATTATTATTCCGCCCCTCCACCCCAGGTCCTTTATGCTCTTGTTATGAGTGAAACTATCCAGTATTTTTTTTTTCTTTCTGGCTTATTTGACTAAGTATGATCCCTTCCAGCTCCATCCATGTTGCTGCAAAAGGCATGTGTTTATCTTTTTTGATCGCTGAGTAATATTCCACTGTGTATATGGTACTTGGCTGAATTTTTAAAGCTTGATTTTTTCCCTCTATAAACAGAATATACATTTCCATTTCACAGTACTTGTGTGGTATCTCAAGTTCCTTCTTGTTTTTGTAACTTTTACCTTTTGTTGTCCTGTCTCTTTACATGCCTCACTATCTTTTTTACTTTTTAACTATGTCAGCATTTGAATTTTATTTTGTAGAGAAAATTAATGGCTGGGGCAGTGTTATCTTATTCACAGAAAATTTGTGTTTGCTTCTGCCAGGTACTTGTGGACATTGGTAGTCCAGAACAAAGGGTTGAAGTTTTCCAGATCACCTATGAGGTACTCCTGTTCTAAAGTCAGCTTTCAGGGTTTTAGCCTAGGACGGGACGCAGTTCACTAGAATTCTACCCTTAGCAGGTGTCAGACTCCAACCCTGTCCTTTCCCTATGCTACACATTACTGATCAGAGAACTAACTCATCTAGTGCAAAACTTGTCACATGTTGGTTTAGCTCTCTGAGCTCCAGTTCTTTTTCTAATCTTAACAGAAAAATCCTCAATATTTTCTTATAGTCAATATCTTACAATAACCTTTTGGCCCTTCTAAGGTTTTTTGATTGTTACTGAATCTAGTTGTTATACTTACTGGACTAAGTAATTCAAATATTACCAGATACTTAAGTTTTTGACTGCTTTAACAGTAAACTTCTGGTCTATCTCCTGTTTTTTAAGATCCATTGTTAATTCTACTACCAAATTATTTTTATATCTTTATGGGTTAGCAATTTATTAATAAAATTAGGACTCTAAAGTGTTATATAAAAGTAATCAATGACCATATCAAATATGATAAATAAAATGATTCTTAAAATCAGCAGAAAAATATTTCTTTACATCTCCTAAGCTACAGAAATACTGTTGGGTAAAATATGTTGATTTTAAACATTTTTAGACTCTAGAAAGAGTCATCACTGATGGGGGAGCTTCTACTATACATGTTAGGTCTCAAGAGACAAGCAGGTCAGAATTCTCACAACTGAGACAATCACAACCACAGGGGGAAAATGGAGGAAAGTTCATAATGCAGGATGTTCATGGGTCTTATCATTTTCACTCTGACAGCAATTACAGTATGTTTTCCTGATGCCAGCATAAAGGCACTACTATCTCTTTATATCTTAACTAGAGCCAGCTGCCAGTTATTCAGGGCAAGCCCACGAGAACAGTAAAGTATAAAAGAAACTCATGCCAAACCTCTACTTTACTCAACATAATCTTTCCTAAAATGAATGAACAATTAAGGATCAATAGACATTTATCGAAAATGAACATCACAAAGGAAGTAATATTTAAAAGAATCTTAATAACTCTCAGGAGAAATGTGAAAGAATACTGCAACACTTTTTAAAAAGCTGCTATATAAAAAAAGAGTGATTCCAGGATAAGAAAAAGGTTATGGAGTATGATAAACATTGCTTATCAGACAGAATTGATACTATGTGACATTATACAATTATTGTTACCAGTCCTTTTGGTCTGGTATTATGGTCATGATTAACTAAAAATAAAAAATAAAATATCAGTCACAATTGTAACCACCACAAAAATCTCAAAGCAGACAACTGAGAGTGACTATTAAATAATAGATATGGAGGTACCAAGAGGAAATAAAAAGGTTAAGTAATTTCATATCATTCTGTTGCATTTGCATTTTTATGAGTAACACAATACATTACACCTATTACAAAAGCAAGTTTAAGTAACAAATGGATAGATAAATTTTCTTGGAAAGTAGAGCATGCTGGATTGGCTGAATTGTTTTACTATACATTCAAAACCTAAACACTGCTGTTCATTTTCTATCTTAAATGCTAAAAAAAAATTATGAAATTGTTTTTATGTAACTAATTTTTACTCTGTAACATAAATAATGGTGTCATTTACCTGGGAAAATATATACATTGTTTCCTTGACCTGGCGTGAAGAGCTGCCCATCACTGAGTTTCACTGGCCCAAATGGACTGCCACTGGCAAATAAACACCTTCCCTGTTAAAAAAATTAAAGAACCTCAATCTTGTTATGAAGATTAGAAAATTGAAGTGAAGTCAAAATAAAATCCTGTAGTAAAATTAACCAATGTATTATAGCAAAGGGGCATGAATTATAGCAAAGGGGCATGATTTACTAAACCCTGTATTAAAGTCCTTATAGGAGGTCTGTTTTATGCATAGCATACATTCAAATAAAGTAGGAAAATGATAACTAGTTAATTTCAAAAAAAAAAGGACACTTCTATATCTTCCAAAAATTTTACATGTAGATGGCCAATAAATACTACCCTAAATATCTTTATAGGTTATTTTCATGCCAACATTAACTTTAATAGCAGATTAGCCAACACTGCATTAGGAGTGTTAATATGGAGTTGTAAAGTGAGTGTTTTGTAGAACTGACAGAAGCAATTATATCTGAATGTGATGACACAGGATGAACCTTGTTATTTCTATAGTAACCACAAAAAGCATTATGCAAGTATGTATGATTAAACTTATAGAGAGTAAATAACAGGTATATAACCAATTCATACAATTATTAATACCTCTGTAAGTGTATATGCTTCCTCAGCTGTGCATTCAGCTTTCGCTGTAGGATTACTTAATGCAAATATTACAGGTCTTTCATTGATATCAGCCATAGCTTTAAGTACACCAGAAGTGAAAAGTGGGCCAGCTCCTGCAACTCCTATAATAACAGGAAAAATTTGACTTTATTTTCAGGCAAAATAAAGTTATTCATACCACCAGCATTTCTACAAGTGGTTTAATGTACCAAAAGCTCACACAGATAACAAATACAACCATTTTGCATTACTGAGATAACATCATGGGAATACAATCTCAAATATGAAAGAACAAGAACACAATTTGTTACTTAAACACTTATTGTCTGCCACCTATGTAATAAATTGTGGGAAATTACTGAAGAAGTAAAGTATAACACTATTATCCATCATTGTCTAATTAAAAAATAAAACCTGCTGCAATGGGGATGAACCCTCAGGACATTATAGTAAGTGAGATAAGTCAGACAACAAACACTGTGATGATTCCACTTATTTGAAGTATCTAGAGTAGTCAGAGAGACACCAAAAATGGTGACTGCCAAGGGCTGGGAGTTGCTGTACTGAACAAAATCTTAGTCTTGTAAGATGAAAAGGGTTCTGGAGATTGCACAACAGCATGAATGCATGTATGCTTAAAAATGGTTATGATGGCAAGTTCCACGTTATGTGTACTTTCCTATAATTAAAAATAATTTAAAAAGAGAATAAAAACTTGTTTCTCAAATGTGGTATTGTTAAGTTCTGTGTTACTGGTTATAAAATAAGCTTTCGGACACGATAAAAAATCACCTTAACTAAAGCAATCTACTTTCTTGATGCAGCTCAAAGATCGTCTTTTAAACTCCTGCAATGTCTCATATACTGTATTCGGTGCTTGGAATGTAAAAATTGAGTATCATGTAAACAGTTAACAGTTGAGAGAGAAACAACAAAGTAAACAAGAAAATAAGAAAACCTGTAACAGATGCTAAGTATGCAGTGTTATGAAAGCACAAATAAGGAAGAATACTTGGCTCCATCATGGGAATTTGTGGGTGCCAAGTGATGCTTCAGCTCAGTACTTATTCAGTTCATCTAGTAAGACTCAATAAGACTCAGATTCAAGAGTACAAAGTAACTACTTTTTAATTTTGTTTTATAAACTGGTATGTAATGAATAAAAATACTATGTGGAACCAGAGTTTAGTATTTGCTCTGTCACTCCTGGCTATATGAAATATTCACAAATCTTGGACAAGTTGCTAACATACCTGCTTGCTTTTCTTAAGTGGAAAAAGAATTTAAGTAATCTATACTCAGTGTTCTCCATGTGGAGATACAGGGATATATTCTTAGGATTCTGTTAGTTCTAAAAGAATTTTAAGTATTTCTTTTTGTTGCCTTGGCCCTCCAGGGTTGGAATCAATGAACAGATACTTAGGTTTCCATGTTGAGTTTTAGGAGAAATGGACTAGATGATCTGTAGAGTTCTTCCAGCTCTAAAAAATCATGAACTGCAATCAGTAAAGCAGCTAACATGTACTTTTCATGACCACAGAAACTCAATGTTTATTACTACTTAACATTTAAAAGGGCTCCTACATGAAACTGGTAACATTTCATGAATAACTGTAAACTTAACTCTTAGAACTATATAGAAAATGACTCTGCTTTTAAAGGCAGTTACATTTTCTGTGTTGTTGTAATAATCTGGTGTCAGCTATGGAAAACCTGCCTCTCAAAACATAACCCTAACTTTCAGTTGACATTACTTTTTTTCAGGTTTTCAGACCAACAGTTATACCAACTCTCAAAGCAAAGCATAATCAATTGCACAGCCTCTAGCACTTGAAGGTATAAGCAACAAGCATTACAACTGAACTTTATATGTTGTAACCAAAAAGCTATCACAAAAAACATCCTATATTGCTGAAAGTTAGTTAAAAACTGTCATTTCACTTTCTGTAATCCTACATGGTAGATATGACTAGCAACATATGGTGGAATATAAAAAGAAAATTTCAACAACTTTACTTACCAATTATAGCTGAGGGCTTAAGTATATTTACTGCATCTTCGAAAGTATCAGGTATGTTCTCTGGGGCTGGATGAGCAAATGCTTCCTGATGACTATCAATTTTAGCTTTCCGACCCTAAATTTTTAGGCGAAATACAGTATTTTTAAGTAAATGATTATTTAGAATTAATTGAAAAAATGTCACTATGAGTTAAATATTCTTTCTATAATGAGAAATGTCTTTTCATTTTATTTTTTTCTTCAACTCATATGTCCTAATTCTATCTTCACAGTATCCATAAACCTAAGTATAAAACATCATTTAAATCCCAATAAAAACAGACACTTTGTATAAAGTTCCTCAAGAATTCATTTACTCTGTGAAATGCTCCTAAATCCAATATGGCACAAAGCATTCAGATTATTTTTCATGTTTTAAAACTGTACTATACTAATATAACAAGTATAATAAATAACTTCCCAAAGGGTACCCTACAACTGTGTGAAACTTATCATCAAGCCAAATTCACTAAGTAACAGTTTGAGACTATAAACACCTAGTTTTGCTACCAGATTAGTTAAGGTCAATCAGGTTTGTTATCAATTTCAGAAAACAAACAAAAAAAAAACCCGGATTTCAGTGCTTTTAGGATTTCAGGAATACTGGCACTAATTAAAAAGAAAAGATCTCAGAAATAAGCAAAGCACAACAAGATAAGCTTGCATCAGATAGCTGACAACTGAAGTATCATTATGGCAAAAATACAAGAGCTCTGCGTATTGCAGAGTAGGTTCAATTATAAAACAATTACCTATGTTTCACAATGTACGATAACGCATTTCTTAAGGTAGTAGAAATGTCAATCAATCAAAGCCAAGAAGGCAGGCAGGTCCAAGGAACACTAAGTGAATCTAGGATAGGAGCTCTTTATTAACCATGCACTGGCTTCAGGAATATGTACCTTCTCCTGGAGAAAGGGTTCACAGATTTTTATGAGACTGCTATAGGGAATTAGATCTCCAAAGGGGTACAGAATTTCTGCTCAAATGGCAGATTTCCTGTTAACAGTTTAGTTAGAAAAGCCAGTTTTAGAAGGGTTGAGTACAACTTAGTGTATAGTTACTTGATCTCTTAAGAGTTAGTGAACAAAGTTAGAAAGAATGAGCCTGGTGCCAACAGAGATTATGTGTGAATATAACAGTTAGAAACTGATGATTTCAGCTGAGAATATACTGTAAGGTCCCCAATTGGTAAATCTGAGAAGTCCACTGAGTTACAAGACAGATTAATTGATAATATTTTTAAAATAAAACAAAAAATCTCCTAACTTTTTTTTATTTTTGCTTCTACAAGTTTAAAATACCTTACCTTAAATAATAAACCAAACTTGTCAACCATCCAAATTTTCTTTTGTGCATCTTCTTCTGAGACACCATTTTCTACCATAGCCATAACGATAAGATTTGCAATTCCAAGAGCAGCCTGTCCAATGAAACATATTTTAAAAATGAAGACAAGTGTATGACACAATGTGTGACTTACTTTATGTATGGATTTTATGAGGAATATTTGATTTTTAATTCCTTAAAAAGAAAAAGCACACAAAACTTGATTCTTGTGTTCTTGTGTTTCCCTGAACATTTTTAAATACTTACTTAACAAGAGAGACTTTGAATTCATAACCTCTACCTTAATAAAGTTATGAGTTCATCACGTTCTTTTCTATAATATCAACATTCTACCACATTTTTCAATTCACTTTTTTATTTTAAAAATTTATTTTTAGATCATTCTTCATTTTGTGCATTTATATTTTTCAATTCTAAAGGAGTGTTGCTTTTATAAAGTTTACAAAAACTTACCTCTCCTGCTCCAAGAAATAAGATTTTATGGTCTGATATTGGTTTACCAATAACTTTTTGTGCTGCAAGAAGTCCTGCTAGAGCTACTGCAGCTGTCCCTGTAAGAAAAATATTTTTTTTTGAAAAATATTTTTAAAAATAAAAAATGGGGCCCTCCCTGGTGGCGCAGCGGGTTAAAGCGCAGCACTGAGAATCTGAAGCCACTTCCGCATGAGTTCGATTCCCGCCTGCCGCCTGCCCCGGAGGAGACCACATGGCGAGCCAGACCTCTCCTGGCCCGCCCGCTGCTCCCCTCAGCAGTGTACTTCCTCCATCTGCCTGTTCTGCTCCCCACTCTGTCTCTGGTGAAGCCTCTCACCGCCCCTGAGCCTCTGGCCTGTACCCCAGTTCTGTATGAATAAATAAATAAATCTTAAAAAATAAATAAATAAATAAATAAATAAAAAATGGGCTGATTAGAAATTCTTAGAAAATCATAGTAATTTTATAATAATAAAAAACCTAAAGTTTTCTCATTGCTTTACCTTGAATATCATCATTGAAGGTACAATATTTTTCTCGATATTTTCTTAAGAACCTGAATGCATTATGATTTCCAAAATCTTCAAACTGAATAAGGGTATTCTGTCCATATCTAAAAACAGTAAAACCTATAATGACTACATTGAAAATACCACCATTAAACAGAAATTTAAAAATAAAATGAAAATACCACCATTAAACAGAAATTTAAAAATAAAATGAGTTCACTGGCAGTCAGAAAAGTGAGTTGGGATAAAAGGGAAGGCTTGAAAAGCAGAAGCAGCTTTATTGGGCCAAAAAGGAGAACAAAAAATAATGAGGTTGTCAAAGAAAAGCATGAACCTGCATTTTCAATAGTATACATATGTGTATATATATATATGTACATATATATATATATATATATATATATTTTATAAGAAAGGACAAAGGAGAAATTGGTTAAGATACATTGGAGACAGTAAGGAAGAACAGGGAATTAATTCAACCCAAAGGACAGAGACTCTATCCTGCATTTGATGTAGAAAACTGCAGAAAAGGAAGAATTCACATAAAACTCCCTTTAGGGACGATAAGCAGGCCAGTGATGTGTAGCACATACTGACGTGGGGAAAGATGAGAAAGACAGGGAGTTAGGAGTCTACTATGATATGAGGACAAAAATAACTTAAGTAGAAGCCACAGGCAGTGAAAGGAACAGTTATGAGGCACTAGAATGAACAAAAGGACCTTAATGACAAGGACAAATGGGAAGGAAGTAAGGGAAAAGGTGTTAAAATAAATGCCAAAGCAGCCTAGATAACTAAGATAACTGTCTGACTGTCCAAGGCAGAGAAGTGAGGAGAAGGTGAGGAGAGGGCAATTTCTAGGAAGATGAAAGGTTTAGTTTTAAACAATGATTCTGAAAAGGAACCAATTGTAATACCTTCTATGTATCAGTAATATAAAAGGGAGAGCAGACCTAGACGATAAACGTAGTTTGAACTTTATCTGATGGCAACGGGAAACCATTGAGAGATGTGAAGATAAAGAATGACAAAATAAAGTATAAGTTTTTAAAGATTAACCTAGTAGTAAGGTGCAAATGAACTAGAGGGAAGAGCAACTGAAGAAGGTATAGAAGGATACAGAAGAGAGATGCGTATCTGTAGAAAGACTGTGGCAATGGAAAAGAGGAGCTATATTTCTGAGGTAGTTAAGTGGCAGCAGCAACTGGATTTAGAAGTGACTGCACAGGGACAGAAAAGTCAAAGTTGGTAGCAAGAAGAAAGGCTTGGCTGGCAACAGGTTGAATGTTACCACCATTATTAGAGGCTATATATATTGAACACAGGCAGTTTGGGAAAGGGAAGTTGTTGTCTTGGACATGAATATGCAGTAGCAGTGGAATATTTAGATAGAAGATTCCAATCACTAGAAATGTAGACCTCAGAAAGAGGTGGGACCACGGAACTGGGTTTCATGGACTTAGGAGCACATGCATACAGGTCATAGCTTACTCAACAGAGTAACTATGGACTCAACAGAGAACTATAGACTCATCCCCATTTATTACAGAAGTGTGAGAAGAATTACTGAAAATGGCAAAAGAAAGGAAAAGGTGGGGGAAAGACCAAAAGTTAATAGAAAACATGAAAGTTGCACAAGAGTTTGACTGGAATGGTGGGAGTGAGCCAGACTATCAATGGCTGCAAAACTGGACAGTGAGTGCATGGCGTGAGTGTGAGCGCAAAATCCTGGAGACCCCAGGTACCTAGGGTATCACCATGGAATGGTGTAACCAATCAGGCAGCAAAGAACCCAAATTCTCAAGTATTTATTCTCTTACTATATGTCTTCATGTGCGATAAAGGGAAACAAAACATAATGGTGGCTCCTTTTTTATTTTAAAGATGACTTCATAAACTCAAATTGTTGTTAAATACCTGTCAGTAATAGCTTTCATAAATTCATCAATTAGATCATCGTAACGTTGTGATCGATCTCTTTTCTGATATAAGCCCATGTAAAATGGATCTTTCAGGAGTGCCTATAAAATAGACCAAATGAAAAATTAAGTATTTTTACATAACCAGTTTAAACATACACTATAAAACAAAAAATGAAAAAAAATTACTATGTGAATTTTAAGCCTCACTGTTCTCATCAAGAAACTTTTAGAAGGCTTAATTTATTACTGTTTGTATAAATACTAAAATTGGAGTTTGGAGTTTAAGACTAAGACAGCATCATATATTTTTCCCTTATATTATCTTCAAAAGTGGATATAATAAAAATGTGTGTGTGTGTTTTAATATGGGAAGAGGATCAAAGCAGGAAAATGATTTTACTCACTGGATTATCAGTTCCTACGTCAATACAAACAGGCAGGCATCTATCAGGTCGTATTCCTGCACAAGCTGTGTACAAGCAAAGTTTTCCTACTGGAATTCCCATTCCATAGACACCCAGATCTCCAAGACCCAGAATTCTCTCTCCATCAGTCACCACAACAGCCTTAATCACAAAAAAGTATATAAATTAAAAGTTGGCAAAAATGGAACACTAGAGAAGAAAACATTTTTAGAAAGGATTTCTTCATGTATTTTCACTCTCACATTAAAAAGCAAAACTACTTCTTGACTAATTTCCAAAGTAAATCAACCAAGCACTCTTAAAATTCTTTCTAGAATTTAGAATGTTTAAAAAAAGAGAATGAACTAGATTTTATTTCCCGACGATTTTGGTGTTTAGGATAAAATGCTTCTGACTATAGGATCAACTTAAATATCCTCAGAAAGACTAAATAGGAGAGAGGCAAATGAATTTTGATTGAGATTACCATGAGCAAAACAAAAGTTTAAGTGTAAGGAACATGCTAGTCCAACATGATAACCTAGGGGAAACAAGAAAGCCCTTAGCAATGGTAAAAAAAAAAAAAAAAAAGGTCTATATAAAAATATATATATACCTACCTACCAGGTTTTAAGATGACACTGAGAGTTTAATTATTTGATCAATTTTTTTTAGTTCATTATAACTAAGGATTATTCATCAAAGATTATTTTGTTGAGGAAGACATACGTAATACAGGCAAGTGAAATCACTGCCTATAATAAATAGCAGCCCTTTCGTAAGATTTTAAATGAGTCATTACATGTTCTTTTATGAAAGACAGCCAGATTAACCAAGGTTTGTACTCGGTAAGTTTGCTGAAGGGTCTGATCTAGCTCATGTTCATAAGAAAAAAGGCATAACGAATCCTCTCTACCACCCACCAATGAAAATTGTTATGGCATCTTAATGTACTTTTCCCGCCTAGAATAACATTAATTGACGTAATAAGGGAATAACATGTAAGTCAGGAGACAACTCTGCGAGGCAGTGGGCAGCGAGCAGGTTCACCTTGTATACTTGCTCCAATTTCTTGCCCAGAGTCAAACTCCGTACCAGTAAACCCATTCTGTAATTATTACCATGATCTTCTCAGAGCACTAAATCTGCACGTTTGTATGTGCAAAATTAATCAGAGTAACAACAAAAAACTATTCTTGGTAGTTTAGAGGAAACTTACAAGGAAAGAAAAAACATTGTGAAAAGGAAGGTTGTGCTATTAGTACCTTAACATGATTTTCTGGCCAGTTATCCACAATTGATCTAACATGACCTCTGTCTGAGATTGAAATAAATAATCCCCTGCAACAGAACAAAAACACCTTTGCATTTCACAGTAATTTTTTTGGTTTTTTCTAAGTTTTCTTCACAATTGGAATATTTTGATATTTTAATAAAACATTATGATACAGTATAATTTCCAAGCAGATTGAGCTAAGTGATAATGGTTTATTTTTCAAATGTTTCAAGTACCTCAAACAACAATAGCACTGGTGACATAATAGCCAAACAAAGATTATTAAATGATATGATCATTTTACCTAAGGCAAATGCACCCACATTGCCTGTTCAAATAAACTCAATACACTTCCAGTAAAAAGCAATATAAAGGTAAACCACTAATGAAGGACAGTTTAATAAGGTTAAGTAAACTGGCTGTTTAAACTCAGCGGAACTGAAAATATGAAATCTGAAGAAGCAGGGAAAGAAGAAATCTTTAGTAATGTCACACAAAATATGACACCCTTGATGCATTAGGAAAAAGCATAAATTATTTTGAACACATTACATTTCTAGCCAATTGAGATAATAAATCCAGATTTCAAAGAAGGAAGGGAAGGGAGAAGAAGGGACAGTCATAGATTTTTGAAAATAGGTTAGGGAAAGAGCCAACAAGTCCCCAACACCTTCAATATTCATTCAATTTCTCATTGGTATCTATACTTTGGCAGTACCATACTAGCTCAAATCAGTTTAGATCATTCTATTATGAACTTATCATTGAGAAACTTTGTATTTTTTTAAATGCCACAGTCCTATTCCCAGAGATTCTGATTTAACAGACCTGTTGTTCAGGACAATTAATCAACCAAGATTTACTGTCTTCTATGCAAACCAAACCAAAAAACCCCAAAACCAAAATGCTACTACATAGCACATTGCATAAATGATATACAGTATGTGCCCTCACTCAAAAGTCATGCTCTTCAGCAGTTCTCAGATTAATGTGCGCATAAGAATGACAGTGTGAGCTTCCATGAAACACCAGCACCTGAGTCCAGCTTTGGACTTAGTGAGTCAGTATCACTGTGGGCAGTATACCCAGACATCAGTATGTTTTATTTCCTTTTGTCCTTAATTTATACTAAAAATACAGTTCTAATTGAAAGAGAAACTACAGAAGAGCTGGACAGCTGGATTATACCACAGAAAGGTTTAGATACATTATTTGATAGCTACACAGAGGACAAAATGGTATTCAAAGTGTTTTCCAGGGAATACTAGCAACAATAAACACCCAAAGTGTTCATTAAAATGTCCATCTCCAGACCTTTCCTTTTTTCATCAGAATCTTGGGAATGGGAAGGACAGGAATGTCAACAGTGATCAACATTTTCAATTAAGTCCCACAGGTGTTTTATATGCACATAAAGTTTGAAAGTCACTAGACTCTGAGAGGAGAATCCAGATAAAAGTTACACATTATCGGAATTTCTACAGTTCTGGAAATATGTAAGCAGGGCATGAGAAAGATGTAATGACTGAATAAAATGCTAATAGGATAGAGGAATAAGAAAATGCAAAAATGAAAATAGCCTCGATACATGGCTATAAATTTACAAAGAACCATCACATCAGTTTCCTCATCTGACTTGAGCACAGTGATAGAGACTGGCATCCCAATTCTACCATGATAAAACAGATGCAGAAGGATTCACTTATGCAAGGATTTAAATCAATGCCCATTCCAGGACTCTTTCCACTTAAAATATTTGGAGGGGCTATAACTATTATAAATTGAAATTTGTGCAAGTTAATAAAAAGGAATAAAAAGAAATCAAACCTGACCAAAAATGAGAATCAATCTCTTAAACTTGGCCAGAATGCCAAAAACTTTAATAATGCTGGATCTGCCACCAGAACTAAGTGTGCCTTTTTTTTGGGGGGGTAAAAATTGCCTAATACCTTCTAATAATCATAATAACTTCAAGAAAGTTAGGAATGAATAATGTTATTTCTACAAAACTAAAGGATATGAATACGCTGCATTTTTATTGATTGCTTTTTGTCCAAAGTAGGCTTTTGTGGGGTGGAAAATGTGATCAAGACTACAATAGAAATAAATACTAAAATAAAAATGTAGTAGGTGCTATGGTGTGGTATTTTTCCTACATGATAATCATTTATAAAAGTATTTTTAAAAATAAGGCTTACCGGGGTCTTCTAAAGATGTGGCCATACTGGGAGCAAGCAAGACCAACTGTTGGTGTGTATACAATTGGCATTAAAGTTTCAATATCATCTTGCAGAATTCTATAAAACAATTTCTCATTTCGTTCTTGTACTCCCATTATATAGATATACCTGGAATTAAGCAAAGCAAATAATGTCTGTATTGGCCATCATTACATTTGAAATGTTGTTTATATCTAGATATCTGAAGTTGAGAATGCCCCTCTCCTGAAAAACAGGACCTTAAATTAGCACTACTTAACCTTCAGGACTAACAATTCAGAAAAATTAAAATGTACTTATATAATAGATGATGCTGGTGAAAGGAACAATAGAACAGCAGTTGAAATTCACTGAGCCCTTTTTGTGAGTGAGGCTCTGTACTAGGGCCCATCAGAGCCTACCCTTAAGGAAATCATGTTTATGAAGACAGTCATTTAAATAAGCAAAGCTAAAATTAAGTATTTACTAATTACTAAACATGTGTCAAATCACTCAGGAGATGAACTCGAGGGACCTAAGAAGTAACCCCTATCCTTAGGCTTACGGCAGACTAAGAACTATACAGGGCACAAAGGAGACATCGATCAATTCAAGTAAATACATAGATATGGCTTTTAAAGAATGAAGTTTCTTTAAAACAGGGAAATGCTGGCTTGAAAACTAGGAATCACTGAATTAAATGTCTAAAACTTACTCACTCAAGCTTGTTTCTCCTCCAGTCTCACCCCTCCTACCTACTTCTAATCCCAATCTAAAATCACCAAGTCCTTCAGAATCTATCTGCTAAATATCTTTCAAACATATATTAATAGTTCTTCCCTCTAACGGCACTCAGTCCAAGCCACCACCATTGCTCACATGGATTACCTCCAAAACTGTCCAGCCTTTATACACACAACTTTGCTGAACCGTTCTAATAAATTAATTTAAAAACTTAAACTCTGATCATTTCTATTCTCTTTAAATGGTATCCAAAAGCCAGTAAAATAAGGTTAAGTACTTAAAATAGCTAATAAGACCTCAGCCTACTTTTACTTTCAAGCCTCGTTTCTTTCTTACTGAACTTACCTGAACTCTCCAGTGCACAACTCTTACTTTGGCACTGCTGCCCATGATGCACCCTTGGCCTGGAATACCCTCCATTCCGCCCGTTGAACACTCAGGTACTCCCTGAATGTAGCCCAGTTAGCACACACTCTCTGGGGGACCATTTCTGACTGTTCCCCATCCCTGCCACACATACACATCAGATTTTCCTGTTTCAAGGTCTCATAGCACCCTACTCCTTCTGTCACTCTCACTCTACTTCTTTACCTTTTGTCTCCCCTCCAGCCTAGATGGTATCAAAAGTAAGGGATGATGGCCTTATATACTTCTATGTCTCCAGGAACTAGCAACAAACAAACAAAAAAACTGGACTCTGGCTGATATATAAACGGTTTATGAATAAATAAAAGTAATTTCATTTAGAAGAGGAACAACATTTTCTATGCAGCTGCTGTGGCTGAATATTAATAGTAGAAATTAAAAGGAAGGCAATTTCTTTTCAATATTGGGAAGAAAACTAACAATTGGGCCATAAGGCAGAATAGCTTTGTGAAACAAGCAAGCAGTATTTAGATGAGAACAGACAATGCACCAAGCCTGTATCAGCAGGAAGTTGTGCAATTCCTGGGCCTCCCTGGTGTCACTTTCACCTACATGTCACTTGGGTGACTCGTCTGAGCGTCCTTTTTATCCTCAAGCAAGACTATCAGTCAGTTAAAAATCTTGAAGGCCATCACTTCACATTCTTATCACTATCCTCCACCCTTTGGTGAGCTCCAACGTGCCTTCGCCCTATAGGTCTGGAGGGATCTTTGCTCCTTGATGGCTTCACCTTTTTCCACTATTGGCTCTCTTCTGGCTCCTTTTTTTTCTCCACCCTGGATCCCAGCATCAAGTCTCTGGCTGTGAATAAACCTCTCATCATTGTTACCAATTAAGAACCCTGAGCATCTTCATTACTGCACTAGCCTTCCCCAGTCTTTCCCATCTGTGAACTGCAGCAGGGATGGACCTGTCACTCTGCAGCTCAAGAGAGATCTGAACAGTGCCTGACACATAAGGCCCTGAATGATTACTAACTGGAGGACTTAATGTAGCACCTTTGTCACTCTAGCAAGTTTCAAACTTGAATCAAGTCTCACCTTTTCTATTGGTGGGTCAGAATGGCCTTCATATAAGCAAAATGGGACAGAAGGCCTCAGGGCTTTGTTCAGCCTTTCAACAGGTTCTTCCTCGGCTCTACCTCCTGGTTAAGTGGCTCTTCCAAACATTTATCACTCTCCTCACCAATGCTATTCAGATTTGACCCTTGTGAATCTTAGCCACAGTCTTCATATATCACAGGAGATAAGAGGTCCTTGGACCTCTGCTCCATAATCTACAGGTTATGCTTGTGTATACCTGTATTTACCTTTGCTGAGAGAATGAGCTATATTTTCTTGTCCAAGGCAACCTTTTCCACTACTGCACTTGACTCCCTACTTCCTCTTCTCTCTAGGATCTTGTTCTATCAATCACCCATATCTTGAGTTTATTCCTTACAGCTATAAGCATTTTTACTTATAGCCTGAAATACACCCTCTTATCCCCCTGCCCCGTCCTGTTTTACTCACTGTTCTTTCACCTCTTACCTAAACTTACAGTGTTTACATTTCCTCCCCTCCCATTCATTCCTCAATCTAGTGCAGACTCCCTTTTGCCCCATCAAAGAAATTACTCTCACCCATCCCCAATAACAATCATCTCTTATACTTAACAAACCTGAGGTCATTTTAATACTGTAGTAAGACTGATCTCTCTACCCAGAATACCTTGCCCTTCTTTCTCATTTTGCCTGCTGCTTGAAATTTAGCTCGGTCATCCTCCCATTAGTTTTAATTGATTCCCCAAGTTGAGAAGGTGTCCCTCTTTGTGCCGTTAGATGCCTTTTTATATACTTGCATCTACCTTTCCCTTGTGGTTCTGCACTGCTGGTACAGAGTACAGTGACAATTATAACTACCTGTTGACGAGCTCCTAGAAAGCAGTGTTACAGGGATGGCCATACATTCCAGCTCGCCTGCCATAGTTTGTTACACATCTATTTCACTTTCCGAAGTATTCTGGAGTCAATATGTAGACATCAAATCCATTACCTACTTTATATCTTCAGTGGCTAATATAGTAGCACACACAAAGTAGGTGATCAATAAAAGTTGTTGATCAAAATGGACTGAACATTCAACTAATTTGTCAAGCAGATTAGTTGACAGCCTTTGCTTCAAGCATTCAATTCAAAGAGGAAATGCTCTGTAACTGTAAGCATAAACAATCAAATTTTGCTAAGTTTTTAATAGTGAACCAATTGAAGTATTAAATGAAATACAGGAAGTATAATCATAAAAATAGCAATTAACTAAAACAAACTCCATTACGAGACTATATTTTTCTCATACCATAATAATCACAATGTGTCAATTTTTTCTAATTGGAGCACCAATTGAAAACTAAACATCTAGTCAACTCTTACTTTTCCAAAGGGCCATTCAATTTCTTAACATTTCTATGGAATCTTAAGGCTTGAATATCTTGTGTCTCTATTTTGGGAGGTAGAAGTCCTTGAAGACCAAGCATTTGTCGTTCTTGTAATGTAAATGCCATACCCTAAAAAAAAAAAGAGGAGAAATAAAATATTTTTACTTAATGAGGTAGCAATGGTGCTGTACTGCAAGATGTAATTTAAATGCCAATTTAAAAAAAATTAACAAGATACCATTTTTGACTAGACTATCAAAAATTTATAGGGTTGATCATATCTAGTATTGGTGAGGGTTTATATGGTAAAAGTTACTTATGAATAACACTGTTGAGAATGTAGCTTGGTGTAGGCTTTTTTAGCAACAGTTTTAAAGTGTTCTTAATTTTGTTAAGGCATATACTCTTTTATAAAGCAATCCTACTTCAACAGCTATCCTAGAGAAATTCATACACAAAGAGATTAGTTGACCCACTGTTTCTAGTTCTCTTGGCTATATATTACAAATTTATTAAAAAGTCATCAAATTATAGAACAGTTAAGGAACCTATGGTATTTCCATACTATGAAATACCATACAATTAAACATATCTCTAAGCATGCAATAGAAAGATTTCCCCAAACAGTTAAGAATAAAAAAGTTTCAAATCAAAAAACATTTCACTGTTAACTGCTATTTCATAAAACTCAACAGAGTGCACAGTATCCATGTAAACATATTTGTATATATTAGAAATGAAATCAGCAGAATATAGTTTGAAAGAACATAAACCAAAACTGTAACAGAAATTACCCCTGCTGGAAAGGAATGAGGCTGACTAGATGAAGGGGAAAGGAAACAAAGACAATTAAGAAAAAATTAACCTAAATAGGTCAGAGGGAGTAGGCCAAAACACCGTGTGACTTCACTTTTATGTGGGACATAAAGTCATAAAATGAACAACAAGCAAAACAAAACAAGCTCTCAGATCCAGAGAACAGATGGGTGGTTACCAGAAGGGAAAGAGGCTAAAGAGCAGGTGAAATGGCCAAAGAGGGTCAATTGCCTGGATTCAATAGATGGTGGTAATGATCACAATGTGGCATGTACACATACTGAATTATAATTCAGCATACCTGAAATGTATATAATGGTACTGCAATAAACATTTTTAAAATATGAAAAAACCCAATGTCTGAACAGTAGATGGTAAGGTAAGTAAAAATAGTACAAATTAAAAAAAAAAAAAAAAGCCTGTATCTTTAATAAAAATCTTTTTTCTTGTATCCAGATATGGGTTAAATCCTTGTATCAAATCTTTTCCTCTATAAAAACAATAAGAACACTCATCAGAAAACAATCAAATTTTTTCACAATTCTGGAAAGAAGTCCATGGTCACAGATGCATGAACTGTTGACATGTCCAGGAAAGACCCGAGAAGGCCCTTACCTCCTCTATCTGGCTAATCTTGAAGTTCTGTGTAAGCGGGAAGTGAAGGTTATTGTACAGTTGTGAAACGCCTGGCTGAATATTGAAGGTGAACTCCTAAATACATACAAAGCCCCCTGGCAAAGAACGGGAGACTTACAGGCTCTAGGTATTTCAGCCTCGGTCTAATCACTAGCTGGCCCACTAAGCTAACAAAGCAGAGATTTCAGTGAGCATATACAAGAATAAAGACTTAAAAAAATTATTTTAGGGAATTATCCCAGTTGCTAAAAAAATAACAGCAATACAACAAATCCTGGGAGGAACTGAGTAAAATGACTGTTTAGTTTTACACAAAAAAGTATGAGGCATGGAGAAAGATCTGGTTCATACCCAAGAAGAAATGATAGTTAATGGAAACTGTTTCTGAGGAAGCCCAAACATTGTACTTACTAGTCAAAGACTTTAAATTATTCCAAATATATTCAAAGAACACCATGTCTAAAGAACTAGAGGTCCTATAGCTATGGTATCCCACTAAATGGAGACTATCAATAGAGAGACAAACTATAGAAGGAACCAAATAGAAATGTATAAAATAACAACATTGGAAATAAAAATTCATTATAGGGCTCACCATATTTGAGCAGCTGGAAGAATCAGCAAACTTAAAAGATAGTTTAATTGATATTAACCAACCTGAGACAGAAAAAGAAAAAACAATAGGACTAGAGTTACAGAAATCTATGGAGCCCTATTAAGAGTGCCAATATGTGCACAAAGACTCTGACAAAGAGAGGAAAGGAAAAAAAGAATCTGAAAACATAATGGGCAAAAATTTCTCCAATTTGTTTAAGAAAAGTTTACATATCCAAGGAGTTCAAAAACTCCAAGGCTAAACTGAAAGAGACATTATCATATTCAATCTGGTATAAGTCAGACTAAAGGAAAAGTTGCAAAGCAGAGAAGGACTGATCATGTATAGAGAAGCCACAAAAAGGTTACAAATAAATTTTTTATCAGAAACCAGGCGAGAAAGTAGCAGAATAACAGATTGAAAGTGACAAAAGAAAAATAAAAACCTGCCAATCAAGAATTTCTAAATCCTATAAAACTATACTTTCAAAAAGAAGGCAAAATAGACATTCCCAGATAAACAAAACTAGAGAATTCATTGCTAGCAGGTCTGTCCTAAAAGAAATGCCAAAGGTAGTCCCCACTTTAGCGGAAATGAAAAGACACTAAAGAGTACCTCAAATCTACACAGAATTAAAGCACAGATAAGATATAACAACATTAATGCATTTATTTTTGTAGAACTTTTTTACTTCTACCAGATAACTTATTTCTTAAAGATTTATTTATTTATGCATAGATTTCACCTTTTTGTCCCCATCAGTGTGTAGTATATTTCATTGTGTGTGCGTACACACCATATCTTTACTTAATTGACTGCCATTAGGCATTTAGATTTTTTTCTGTAAGTTGCTACTGTAATAGATTTTAGACTATCCTCCTTCTTAAAATTCATTTGCCACTTACTGTACTTATAAATTCTTATAATGTGCCTGAAAGTATGTTTAAAGTTCTTATAAGGATAAAAATAAAACAAACTCAACATTTATCAAATGTCTATTATGTCATGGCACTGTCAAAGACACAAAGAAACTTTAAACAGTCCCTGCCCAAAAGGAACCCGAAATAAAGTTAAGATATATATAATTTCATGAAAACATAAATGCCTACGTTATTACAATGACAGCTTAAGACATGAAAAGAACCACAAAGCAATGTCTATTGATTACCTGCCAGAAGAACGGGAAGATAAAAACTGCAACAGGTTTTTAAAGAAGGGAATGACTATTCCGTCTACAGTGGTGTGAAAAGATTCTAGGAAAACTGGATGCCTTACACGTTGAAGAACAAGCAAGATTTGGGGATAGGAAGCAAAAGCAAGGGAGGACTAGAATATCCCTTGTTGAATTTTAATTCACTAACTGCTCCCTGAACTGCTTCTCATTCTGTGCTAGGTAACAAATAAGCAAAGAAAAGGCTCTCTATGTGACCCATGATCAAATACCCCTTAGTAGACCTGAAACCCCTAAAAATATATTCTTACATATAATTATTTACCATTTGAGAAAGAAAAGGAATTGGCAAAACTTTTTATAAATACATTGAAGTTAATCACATCTAATGTGGATGCATCTTTCTAAAAGGGCACATTTTATATGTAGTGTAAGACCAATGTATCTTTTTATAAACTTCTTATAAAAATTCTCTTTCTAGGCTCTCCCTGGTGGCGCAGCGGGTTAAAGCACTGCACTGAGAAGCTAAAGCAACTTCCACATGAGTTCAATTCCCGCCTGCCCCGGAGGTAACCACATGGCATGGCAGACTTCTCCTGACCCGCCCACTGCTCCCCTCAGCAGTGTACTTCATAGATCTGCCTGTTCTGCTCCCTACTCTGTCTCTGGTGAAGCCTCTCACCGCCCATGAGCCTCTGGACTGCACCCCAGTTCTGTATGTACAAATAAATAAGTCTTTAATAAAAAAAAAATCTCTTTCTAGTTACTATTTATTATTGCTATAAAAACTAGAGAGGGATTGCCCACTGAACTCAGCTTGGATAAAGAATGATTAGAACTTAATGCTGCCTGTCATTTCTGCACCCAAGAGTCTAAAATGAGCCAGAGGTCTTTCTCTTTTAAAGCAATAGTACAAACAATGGGCAAAGTTACTTGTGTGTAATGACTGTGTCCAAAAACTCTAGGGGAGACAGCATTCTATTTTACAATTCTGTCCTCACCTTACAATGGCCCAAGTGAAGGGTCCAGAGAGAGTAGTTATTTGAGCATGGTAAATCTAAATATCCCAAATCTTGCAAGGGTCCTGGTCAGACTGCTAGTCTGCATTTTTTTTTTTTGGTAGCTCTCGACCTAGGGAATAAAGTCAATCTTCTCTAATGGCAGAAGTGAGGAGTGAAGTTGGTAGGTATAATGCATTCATAATCTTGTCACATGGAGGAAAGTGAAAGGTTCACATAGAAAACGCCTATACATCTAAATAGTTTTTAAAAAAACAAACAAACAAAAAAACCATGCCAGTCTAAAATATGTAAAGAAATCTCTACCAGGAAGAAAGAAATGTATGCTAGTGTAAGTGTTACGCACCTTATTTGTTCTGGGGTTCAACATAAGTGGCTTGCCTTTCTCTTTTGTGCTCAAGTGACGGCGGCATGCCCGTGTGCATGGGGACGCAGCTATTCTTAACCGAGACAACATCTTTTCTTTCACCTGGGGGGAGAAAAGCAAATAAACCACTGTTAAGATACTTGTGATAGAATGCCATGTATATCATGTAACAGTTTTCAAAAGCAGATTTAGAGAGCTTAACTTTCCACACATGAGAAAGTGTTTTAAAAGCACATTTATGTTTCTATATATTCCTGATGAACTTTAAAGGTATCTCCCACTTAAGAGAGAAAGAAATTGAGAGGTTAAGAAGATAACATCTAGTAAACAATCAAGCAAGTTCCACTTAAATGAGGTTGGGAGTGTAGGTTAAATGAGGAAAAGTAAGTAACAGGGAAGACTGGAATATACACATTCCAAGGAAGAGAACTAGTCAGATTATTATTCACAACTTAGAATTTTAATATACTATATGTAATGTTTAAATTTAATATACTAAATATCACTGTTTTAAGAAAACTTGTTATTTAATATTTGAAACATTTTGAAAATGGGTTAGAAAACATGTTTGTCTATCACAACCATAAAGAAAATTTTCAAAATGGAGAACTCTTAAATATTTACTGAATCGAACATAAGATTCTTTATATAACAATTCTCCCATTAAAAGTCAACTTGTGGGCCCTCCCTGGTGGCACAGCAGGTTAAAGCACAGTATAAGACGCTAAAGCCACTTCAGCATGTGTTTGATCCCCGCCAGGGAGGTGACCACATGGCGCGGCAGACCTCTCCTGAGCCGCCCGCTGCTCCCCTCAGCAGTGTACTTCGTCAATTGGCCTGTTCTGCTCCCCACTCTGTCTCTGGTGAAGCCTCTCACCGCCCCTGCACCTTTCGCCTATACCTCAGTTCTGTATGCATAAACAAATCTTTAACAAAAAAGTCAACTTGCAGTAATCATTTATATCTTCAGTCATAGTAGACCTTTGTAATTATGATACAACAAGCTTTTAAGTGAAATTTCTACTAGCTGGAAATTCATGATGTACATATGGGGAAATACATTGGTATTTCTAATATTAATTTCTATGGAGGTAAAATTCACAAAACATAATCAGGCCAAACAATTCAGAGATTTACAAAATCCTTAATGTACAATCACTAGCCTTATCTAGCTCCAAAATATTTTCATCAACCCATAAGAAAACACTGTACCTATTAAGTGGTTAACCCCTCTTCCTTCCTCTCCCAGAGCTTGCAATTACCAATCTGATTTCTATCCTTACGGATTTACCTGCTTTGGATATTCCATATAAATGTAGTACCTAAATATGGTCACAAAACTGAGAAATCTATATATATAATAAAGACTACAAAATAACCATTTCCCTTTAAAATGTCAATGTCATAAGGACAAAGCTAGGGGAGACTCAAATGTAACTGACACAAGATATGACCATTAAATGCAAAGCCTACCTAGGTGTGGACAGCATGCTGATGAATGTTTAAAAGGATACTGTGGATACCATTACAAAATTGGAAGATACAATACAGCTCACATAAACATGTTGTCTAACTTAAATTTTCTGATAATATGTAAGAACAAGTCTTGTCCTGTAAATATACAGTGATGTATTAAAGGGCCAAGAGGTATGATGTATGCAACCAAGCACTGGAAATTATTTCAAAATAATCTTTTAAGAGACAGAAATTGAAACAGTTGTTTCAAATGTGCTAATAAGTGCAAGTAGCATTGTAATTGTGTAAGACCTTAGTGAAGACTGAAATGTTATTAAATTGGGGTTTAGAAAGTTTGACTTTTAGCTATGTACCTACAAATGTTCCTAAAAGACTCTTGGCTGCACTTCCTTTTTCATGAAACGAAGAGCAGTCTTTTATAAGGAGAAGAAAATTAAGTCATCAAACCATGTCTAGAATATCATCAATTTCAAGTGTATAGAAAGGTAAAGTATATTTCTTTATTAAAGTAAAACAAAAACCTTGAGAAACAAACAAACAAACAAACAAAACAGGAGAAAAGGTCTACCTTTTAAGATACAATTTTTAAAACAAGCTCTTATTTTCTAGTAATTTTAGGTTTACACAAAAGTTCAAGATAGTATTTTCCACAAAGCCCTCACCAAGTTTCAATTTTCCTGATTTTTTAACAAGCTTTTTTTTTTTTTTAAATGTTGAAGCAACAGGCTTTTGGGGGGGGGGGGGCAATGCCTTCCACAATTTAAATGTGAGCATGTGAGCATTAGACAACCAACTGGCTTCAAAGAGTGTCAAGAATGTATTATTTCATAGGCAACAGTACTGTTTTATGGTAGCGTAGTTTTGAATTCAAAAGATGGGCTTGCTTTTCTAAAAGGCAGCAAGCAGGCTGAGGCCTGGTTTTTACATTTTTACATGGATGTAAAAAATCAGTGAGTGTCAGACACATATGTGTCCCACAAAGTCTAAAATGTTTACACACACACACACACACACACACACAGAGGTTTGAAGGATTGCAGTATTATATCTGGTTTGGTTCTAAAGAGTTTTCAATCCAGAAGTCAAGGGAGACTTCAAACAAAGATGTGTTAAGTGTTGCTGATCACTTACTTCTGGATGCTGAAACACTATTACCAGGTAGACTATTGTATAAGTTACTTTCTGTTCCCCACATATTCCCATCCACCAACCTCTGAAGTAATATGTAACTTAACATTTCAAGACCATTTAGATGAGGCGTAGGGTGTCACCAAAACATAGGGATGTAAATGGTGATCCCAACATTAAATGTGATGCAATGCTGTGAGTCTGCCAATGTTTAGAATGTTTTACTCATAGTAAATAGTCACTGATGCACTAAGCTTTAATTATTCAATGCATGTAGGGAAATAAACAGAAAAGAATGTGAAAAGATTTGAAAGACATTCTGATTTTTTGACAAAAAAAAAAAAAAAGACATTGTACAAGGTCACCAAACCAAGACAGTAGTGATGATTTCATCCATATCTTATAGGAAAAAAGAACTGTGAACATTAAAAAACACTGACAGGGAATGTAAAAACCAGAAAGACAAAGAAGTGACTAAGAGGAAAACCTACAATTGGAAATCTTCATAAACTAAGTGATCCAAAATTACTACACTTCTAAATATGCTCTATTAATACAATAAAACCTCAAAATCTCAAGTAGATTTAGACCCTTCTAAAGAACATGGACAGCTCAAAAATGCAGTAGGAAACCAGTAGATGAGATTATTCAAAACACTTTGAGTCAAACACAAAATTAATTTCCCTATCTAGATTTTTACTACTCTAGGCTACTAACCATCTCCTGGGATACAGCAAATTCTTACAAATTCTTACAAATTCTGATAGTGTTTCAGAGGAAAAAAACCACAAGTTATTGGGATGGATCATGTGTGCCACTGGTCTGATGTGTCTTATCATTCATTTTCACATGCTGAAAATTGAAGATACCAAAGAAAAAGACATAGTAAGTTTTCCTTCCAACTTCCCTCCAGCTAACTAGTTCTCTTCTCTGGAAACAAAAATTGTAACCAATTTTTTGGTCTAGGCTGGGCTTAAGGAAACTTTTCCCCTTAAGTTAATACATCCACTGCCAGTAGAAACCTTAATGAACAAAATTACCCATTAACACATTAATTATAACTTTGATACCCTTTATAGAACTTTTTACCTAAAACTGAGGAGTATTTTATATTACCAAGTGCATAAACCTCAAAATAAATTGTGTTTTAGCCTAACCAGTATACTTACATTCTTAAATATTTTCCTGAATCACAAGTACAATTGTGACACTTGGCTGAGTCTTTGTCATCACCTCCTTCAAATGTCTTAATTTAAATAAGAATACTGAAGCTCAGAGACAGAATGACATGTCCACTATCACTTGGTTAGTAGTTCAGTGTTCTAATATAGATACCCCTTCGTGTTCCAAATTTTTCAGTTCCCAAACCTTAAGTTATGCTGTTCCTTGCTTCTTCAAGGTAGTCTGTTCCTTTCCTTCATAAATTTCATTAAAGGTAAAAAAATTTTTTTTAAAGATTTATTTATTTGTGCATATAGAACTGGGGTTCAGGCCAGAGGTGCAGGGGCAGTGAGAGGATTTGCCAGAGACAGAGTGGGGAGCAGAACAGGCAGACTGACGAAGTATACTGCTGAGGGGTGCAGCATGCAGGTCAGGGGAGGTCTGCCTCGCCATGTGGTCACTTCCCAGGCAGGCGGGGTTGGAACTCATGCTGAAGTGGCTTCAGCTTCTCAGTGCTGTGCTTGAACCCGCTGCACCACCATGGAGGGCCTCAAGGTAAAATTTTATTTTCCTAATTGAACAATTTCTCCAATACATTAATTCTTATCGCTATTTCTGATAATGCCATTTTTCTTACTGTGATTGCTTTTGTCTACATTTCTATTTTTTCTCACATTTACCAGTTTAGTGTTATAAATTAATATTTTTATTTCATTAAATACTTAAAGACCCTTTCAGATATTCTAATACCCTTACATATAAATTTTTAGACACTTTCATGGAATATCTATGAAATATCTATAAGCTCATTAAAAAAAAAAAAAAAAAAAAAAAAAACTGGGCCCTCCCTGATGGCGCGGCCAGTTAAAGCACAGCACTAAGAAGCTTAAGCCACTTCCGCATGAGTTCGATTCCGGCCTGCCCAGGAGGAGCTCCACATGGCCCCACAGACCTCTCCTGACCTGCCCGCTGCTCCCCTCAGCAGTGTACTTCGTCCATCTGTCTGTTCTGCTCCCCGCTCTGTCTCTGGTGAATCCTCTCACCCTCCGCATCTCTGGCCTCTACCCCAGTTAGTACAAATAAATAAAATAAATCTTTAAAAAAAAAAACACAAGGAGCAAGCAATCTTTGATGATAGTCCTATATATGTTGTTTGTTAATGGAAACCAACCCTGGAAAGCAGTTTCAAGTTTGTCTCTATATAACACCTATAGTGTTTACAAGCTAAAGCCAGTTCAGGAATGAAATTTACCCACATTCAACTGAGTTGCAAGCTAAGAACTCTGCCTATCGTATAGAGAGTGGTTGAACTCTAGTTTCAACCCTAGTCAG